CTCCAAGTTGCCATTACGCATGCGCGGCAAATACGCAGCCAGCGTTCCTTTGGAATTTCACTAAGAATTAATGGAAAGCATAGAACGCAATACAATCAAGGGGGTTTGGACTGTCTTTCACTCACAATTCAATCACGCGCCTTTTGACTTTCTATCGCGTGAAATCGACCAAAAGCAGAGTAGAAAGAAAGAGCGATGGATCTCGCCTGTACTCCCTACCTTCTGGTTATTACAAGTTTATTGATATATTTTACTTCTTTTAAAAAGCTACTGTCGACGTCATAATAGTATGTTTAATGAATAACACACGCAACATAATTCGTCGGAGCCATTTTAGGCGAGTTACAGCATAAAGCACCAGTTAAACCAAACCATATAAACTAAGCGAACACAAGGGTCAAAAATTCCCACATTTCTTCTAACACATTCGGTAAGACGAAATTGCAATAAAGCGAACACCACTACTACGAAAATAGCGGGGATCCCACAGGAGTCGGCAAAATACAGTAGATTAAGGGTACTCCCACAAATAAATCACCCCATGTGGACTTACTGCAGTTTTGTTCGTCAGAACCATCAACGCAGTCCTCGCTGTCATCACAGATCCAGCCTTGAGGGATGCATTGTCCGTTGGAACAAGTAAATTGCTCTGGTTTGCACGTCTTCGGAGCTGTTAAAGAATAATGTTCTTGATAAATTTCATTCATACATTTTGGCAGCAACTTTTCATTGCCTTAAAAGGCAGTTGCTAAATCACTGCAATATACATGTACACTGCTCAGTTAGTTACAAACAGTAAAATTAATAGTGCTCCTTTCTTTATTGTAAATCATTTCACTTTTTAAAATTTTGTCACTCATAGTAGTGATAAGACAACTAACCTCTGCAAGTAGAATTGTTTTCAGCAAGAATCATATCCATGGGACAAGAACACTGAGCATGTCCATGCACACCAACAGAGCAGATATGAGAACAAGGCTTCTTGAAACAAGGGTGGTCAACTACAAAATCCAAACGGAATAACCATTACACCTTGTCCTCCATCAAGACCACCAAAAACTTGGTTCCAGCTAATATACGAAATTTCCACATCCCTTATTGGTACTTAATTTCGTGGGTCTTAAATTTCCCGTCTTTCGTGATTGTAAAAAAAATCGTGAAATTTAAGACCCCCGACTATAAATCCTCGCGAAATTCAAGCACAAAGCCACGCAAAATTAAATACTATGTAGAAAATTAAAACCTCACAGAAAAAAAAAACCCTTCAACTTGTAATAGCAAAAAAATACATGATATGTATCGATAATACGAATTAACTGGTTTTACTAGTAAGCTCCAATTTAGTTATAATTATTGAATTTATTTAACGTTCATTCGAAAAATTTTCACACGTTGCTTGTTCCAGTATGACTAGTCTAATTTTTGCGAAAAAAAAATTAGACCTTTTTACAAAAATTAAATGAGGTTTTGAACGCCTAAATCGAGAAATTTAGTGCATTTCTTCATACTTGCCTCTTGAAATCACGAAAATAAAACCCCACGAAATTAAGTACCATTAAGGAAGCTAGGCTCATTATAATTGACTAAAAATCCAGTCGACTCCCGATAACTCGAACCCTCGCGGCTAACTCGAACCAAAATCGATTTCCCCTGGATTTCATTCATACATTTACTATCATTTTACCCTCGGTAACTCGAACCCTCGATAACTCGAATCTTCAGCTAATTCAAAGTAATTTTTGTTTCCCTTCAAATCATGGTCGATGATTTCCATATAAATTTGCCATCGATAACTTGAACCATGTTTTAACGCCGGACAAGTCAAAAAAAGGGTACTGCAGTCCGAAACACTGAAACTATTTTAACAGCCATGTAGTCTTTATTGTTTTCAGTCCAGTGTAAATAATGTCCAGCGCTGTGTATCAGGGCTGGAAAAAATTTCCGGAGAGTCCCCGGACATGATGACCGGCCAAATTCATTTTAGCTCGGTCACGTATCATTTCTGGCCGGTCAAAGTTATTAGATAAATATCTCTTAAAACAAGGGACCATGAACCAAGAATGGCGTTATATATGCCCAAAAAACAGGGCTTTTGATATTTCGCGTGGGTCGCGGAGCCGCGAAATTCAGGTAAATCCATGAAATCCAGCAAAATTTACTAAAAATCTTATCAAATACATGTCGATACAACATATTTAAAAATTTATCTTGGCTATTGGGGCTGTTTAATTCCGTAAACGTTATCACCACAATAAGCGACCAACGTTTCAAACCTTCCAGGCAAAAATTATGTCGCGGAAAACTGGGCACTGGTAATGATGTTAAAAGCTTTGCCATTGGCTCTTGTTGTTAAAATAGCAATTGATTATCTCTTAAACACACTCGTCAAATCAGCGCAAAATCGATCACTTTCTAGAAGTCAGCCCGCAAATCTGCCTGAAAATCCCGGAACATTTGACTTTTTTTCTGCGACTTATACAAAGCCCTGAAAAAAGTTGTTGCTTAACCAATAACAGTGAAAATATGTTTAATTTTGTTTAGCATGAATGCTTAATGTCTGTTTCAACGCACGAAATGCAAACAACGGTTCTAGTTGCATGTCACCCAGGATTACAGATCAAAGTTCCGCAATACACAGCGACTCGCTACAAACTGATAACAACTGAACAGCGTGGAAATTTTAATTTATTTCATTTTCAATACGATAGAATGTAACCGGTCAACATGAACGGCAAGACAAAGGTTGACCGGTCAACTCCCCAATCAGTCATAGTCCGTTGACCGGCCGTTGTTTTGAGCCCTGTGTATCGATCATAAAACGTTTTGAAGTGTACATGTTACTTGCATTTATTCCCTATCCCATTTTCTTAATATTGGTTATTTATTTCGAACTCCCGATAACTCGTATTCGCATCGTACCATTATTTCCCCCATACCTGCCAGGTAATCTAACGCCCCAATTGTACAGAGGGCGGTCAAAAAATGTACCAAACGGAGTGACTCAGGAGCAAAATGATTGTTTGGCTCATTAAACCTCAGCTTTCTTTTGGCTGTCGTTGCCGTCGTCCTGTACGCTGCATAAGCCCTCAAAGCCACCTTACATACTGACCAACAAATACTATAATAAAATCCTTATTTATAACCACTTGAAGTATAAAAAAATAGCCATCAAGAAGAATCGTAAAATGAAAGAACTATCACACCTGACGTGTTCAGTGTATCAACGACAATTATGTCAGATAAATCATCAGTAGCTGCTTGCACTTCGCTGCCAAAATGTTCATCCTCCCTGATTTTTATTATACTGCGGCTCTTACGATCTATCCAGTACACATAATTTCCATGGACTGCTAAGCCAACAGACTGTAAAACTTTCGTCTCAATCAGTGTGGCACGGTTCATTCCTGTAACGTATATTTATGCGACTGTGAGCTCCATATGTTAATTACTGAAGACACAATTCAAGTACTAGTATAGTTTTGTAACTGTAAGTGTTCTTGTTGTCGTTCACTTCAAACTTGCATTAAGTTCTCATCCGAAATCAAGAGAGAAGGGTTGAAAATAAGAGGAAGAAGAGGGCGTAGTTCCCTAAGTCTTTATTTTAATCACGATCTACTTTCATGTAACACGTTAGGAAAATGATCGCCAAAAAATGACCTAGTCAACAGACATGTTATTTTTATTACTTTTTTTTAGTGCTTGAACGCGGATTGCGTTGATAAAATAAAGAACATTAGCAACAGAAACTACCACTCCCGAAATATTTCAAATAAAGGTGCATTAAACTTTCTCCTTGCTTCGCTTTTGATTACACCAGTAGTGTTGGTAGTCTAACAAGTGCCACAAAGGGTGCCGCCGACCCCCGCTATTGTTTTTAAGTTGTCAATCAAATTTGGCTATTGTTTTCTATGGTAATGAGGTATGACATCATAAGGTAAGAAGAAAGACATTTCATAAGTTACTACCTAGATATAGAAAGGGAAATTATATATGTGAACGAAGCAGGTAAGTGACAAATGTGGGACAGAATTATTGTATCCTCATTACGCATGCAAAGTGTACAGAACGCATGCGCAGTAACAAAACGTTTTTAAAACGTTGCGGAATCAACTGTAAAGTGAAATAACAGTATGATTAATGGTTTTAAAACGCATGCGCAGTAAATCAAGACAATTATAAAGTTCAAACATGTTTTATTTTAATACAATCGATGTTTTATTACAATAATGAATAATCTCGCAGAAGTGGACGATAAACAGCGAGATTTAATCGTGCTCTATCACAACCTCAAAGGGTTTGATGGTAACTTTATCAATGAGGAACTTTACCGTCAAGGGCAAAAGTCTTGGGCGATGCAGTGAGAGAAGCGGTTATGCAGGGCTTGAGAAGTTCTGCAAGTTGGAAATTTTGCATTACGAAGGCATGATTCCAGACTTACACTATTACGCGGAAGACATCAGTGAAGAAGCTGAGTTTCAAGCAGCAACCCTTTGCTATATGTGTGAAGAGGATGGAACCAAATGGAATGCAGATGGAACCAAAAACCATTGCAGGAGAACCATTACACGGCTGGAGCGGACATTTCAAAAAGTTCATGGCTCAACTTCGACTCAGCTTGATTGGAAGTATGGAAGAAGACATCATCCTTCGCTCTCAGCTAAGTTTCGAATCAGCATTTATAATATAAACTTATTTTTAAACTCCGTTTAAATGTCTCTTGGAGTTCCAATAAAGCATCAGGATAATCATAAATGTTCATTACGCCAACAATGGCAGTTCGTTGTACAAAAGTAGGTAAGGCAAACTGCTCTTCTGACATTTGATCACAGGCGTAGAATAAATCTTGATCGTGTCTGTACCAAAATCAAATATTTTTGTCAACATCATACACATAAAGGACTTTCTTGAGAAGTTTAGCCATTTCCACCGTCCAGCCAGTTCCTTCAAAGCACAAGTTATTTTCCGGCTGGAAGTTTGTAAAGGCCAACACTATGTCTGCCTTATTGTCTGTTGAGGCGAGCAGCTACTTGCTTGGTTGTGGGAATCGCTTCAGCGAGTTCAGTTGATGTTAATGGAGGAACGGTTTTGCTTCGTGGATGACGTGGTGGAACAAGGACTTCAACACGTAAACAATAATATCTTGCTAACTTTTCAGCTTCTAAATCCACACCAAGTGCACCACCAGAAATAATGGTGAACTGCAGAACGATACGAATCATCTTGCTTTGGCTGGTTGAGCAACATGTCAGTGGCTTTTAATACCAAACCAAACAAAAGAGTCGTGAAGTCATTGCCTGAGCATGTTTAATTCTCAAAGGACTTGATTTTTGCTGGTGCATGCATTTCAAAATATCCAGTGGCGGTTTGACATAAATCTTCATAAATTTCTTTGTTGAGAGTATACAATTGGTGATTCAATTGATCCAAGGTGAAATGATATCCAGAGATCCCTTCCAAAATGAGTGCTCGCATAAATTCATGATACGTCTTAAACTTGGACAATTCAATCGTGTCTAGAACCTTGTCCATGTTAATACACTGTGTCGTAGCCTTCTCTGTCTTGTTTTTCTTTTAGAAGGTCTTTGACGCGTTTCAATTCCTCCTGTACGTTTTCCAATAGCTCTTTTAAACTCTTGATCATTTGTAACAGATCGGCGCAATAGAGAAGAACAGCAATGTTGATCCAGTCAACTTCACTCATGACTAAAATCAACTAAACAGCTCTGTTCGCTTAAATAGGTGTGCCATGCTCCAGTGACTCTTCCAATTTAATGTATTTTCTTTCCGGTCCATCCAGTTTCTTTTTAGAAAACAGGGTAACTACTACAGGACTGTCTTTATTGAACTGAACCATAGACCTATTCCATTCTGTTAAAGTCACTTCGCCAATGTCAAGAAGCTGACCCCGCAGTGAATAAAATTGCAGTAGGTGGCATTCAATGAGCGTTTTTTCGTTATTATAAGCGACAGCGTTCATCAGAGCATTGTTTCCATACTCACTTTTGGTTAAATTGCAGTACATGAAAAGTGGTCGAGTTTTTAGTGATTTCCGGGTGTTTTGGAAGCAGTTTTGATCCCTGTACTATCTGTGGTAGTGGTGGTGTGAGATGAATGAATAATGGAGTGATCATCATACACATCAGCTTCTTGATTAACATGACCCTTTACTCCATACAGCACTAGAAATGTATTATCTTTCAATTCATCAGGATAGGTGGAAGGTAATGGATAACCAATTTCAAACTGGACATTGAGATAGGCATTTCCCGTGACAGATTTGGTAAATTGAATAGTGAGTGTATGATAATAAATTAAATGGGTCTTACTGTACTCACGAGTATGTTTGGAGACGGTTAAATTTCCTATCTCCAATCCATTCCCATCTGTAGAAAAAATGAGAATGATTAAACAACCATTCATCTTTCTGATGCCATTCCAAAGCAACGGTATAAGTGTTGCTTTTCGTTAATCCAGCCATGTTTATTTCAAGTTCTCCATTATAAACACCTTTTGACCCACCAATCACAATCTTAACCCCCTCTAACAACGTAACAATTAGAGTTTTTGGATTCCAATAATGAGGAGACACAGGGAGGTCAACCATTGAATCGTCCAACTCTAAACCAGAACTCATTCGCTAAAGCGAAATATTAGTCATCCACTGTTTGAAAAGATTGGTTTGTGTTTTAGGAGCCTCAAAGACATAGGTGGCTGCTTTTTCGAAAGCTTCATTTAAATTCACAAATCTCCAGCTAAAGGTAGAGCAGAGATAGAGTAATCCTTCTTCCACATGAATTGGCTTGGTAAATGTAAATTCTGCATTGTGACAGGTCGCATGATCTGATTTGACAGAGGTTTTTCCACAGGGAAGTTCCATGAGTAAATTAGGCCCCACCTCAAACACATTGCTTGATTTTTCTACCACCCATCCCATACGTTTGGCCAACATCAGATTAACAGCAAAATAGAGGACACTTTTTGTGTTTGTGCTGTCAATATTGTAATGATGTAACAACCAAGTCGTGTTATTATCCTGAGCTGTAATGTCCACTCTCCAACGGTCGTTATTATCAGCAAATTGAGGTAATTTTTCGTTCAGATCTTGATCCATCTAATGGACCAATTTTCCGAAAAATTCAAAACCTGTGTTAGCGTCACATAAATCTGTCTTGTCTATTGTAGACAAAAATTCTCGCGTTTGACTTGACTTACAAGCCTTTGCATACTGTGGAAACATATGATGTCTGTGTTTGTTCCTTTGTATAAATTGGATAATTTTTTGTAGGAGAACTGTTTCGGTGGTGTTGGGATTACTGAATGAGATGGAATAGTGGAATGAAAGGTAACCACAGGTGGAATGGGGTTTGGGGCCCCAGGTAAATACAGACTGGCGAACCCAACTTTCCATTTTCCAGTTAACCATATCGCTTGAGGGAGACGATATTTAAAATGATTAGGAGAATTGTTCGGAAATTCACCGGATTTACTACTGGTGAGGGTCACATAAATAGAGGTCTCAGTTGGTTGACTCATGATGATGCAATAAATAAACACGTAGGATGCATTCTTTAAATAGGCTTGCCTGTCTAATCATGCCCAATTCCCCAAGGACTGACGTCATGCTAATGACGTCAATGCCTCAACATGTCCAATTCCCTAAGGACTTAAAACCCTATAAACGTGAGCGTTTGATGTCAGTTTAGTCATTGTGTGCAAGTTGCAAGAACCACCCGTGAAGCAGTTGAGGATGTCAGACCCTACTGTGGAAATCACAGTGTGTCAGTCTGCTGAACTCAGTCAGGCTTTGGATGAAATATTTGGTCTAACCCAAGATGGATCGTCCACAGGTCAAAAGTTTCAAAAAGCGAATGACAAAATGGAAAAATTGGAAAAGAGACTGACTGCTGAACAGCAAGCCAATATTGAAGCCTTAAACAAGAAAGAGGAAAGACCCGCTCCCGATTTCAGTCACGGTTGGGGGCTGCAAGAGATGTCTCTGAAACAACTAGAGTTCTTGGAATCCTAGAAACAAAAGTCCAAAGAAAAGCGAAAGAAAGCCTACGAAGCAAGAAAACAGAAAAAGGCTGATGAGAAAGCAAGATTGGAAAAAGTGTTGGAGAGTGAACGGGAAGACCGACCATATTCCCGAGAAGGACTACTCGCTTTGGAACAAACCCGTGGCTTCTCCTACACCCCCGGGGTTCCCTCTCGTGAACTTATGCAGGGATCTACTCAAGTTCTCCCATCCTATGAAGAGATGACAATAGACGAGCTGTTCAATGGACCAAGCTCCATGGAAACTCAGCCAGACTTAGAGCAAGTTCAAGTGTTGGACGAAGGAATAGCGGTGATCAATGGTGCCCATGGTTGTAAGAGTACCTCATGGAAGAGACCAAACCTCTCTACACCTACTTTGTCCTACCAAATCAACGACTGGCCTTGTGCTATACCTGCCCCGTGTACTTTGGAAGTTTTGAGAACAAACAGGACATCCTAGACGCACTGTGTAACGAGATTCTTTCCAAAGTATTGAATCAATAAGGAACATTTGCCTGTGACTGTAGATTAGTGCCCATCCTGAAACTCAGTCAAACACCTAGAAACAAGAACAAAGTCTTCTTAAGCTGTCCCGAGAATGTAGAGACTCGCTGTGGGTACTTTCAATGGGTTTATCAACCCCCTAAGCCAACGTATGTGCCTAAAACAGCGACCCGATCAGCCCTGAGGAAACGACTGAATGACATGGTGCATGAAAGAATGAGTTTGGAGAAACGGTGGAAACGCCCTAAAGTAGAGGTTGAGGAAACCATTGGAGGATTCAAGTTTCCTTAAGAACTTTGCTCTTTTTATCATTGTAAAACATTTTTTCATAGTTGAAGTATTAAAAATTTGTATTGTCTACTTGACTACGTGATCTCATGTTACATTCTCATCTTGCCCAACACCCTGGGGAATAGGTTGATATCATTGCACACTACCCTTGCGAATAGCATGACGTCATTGCCTGAACATGCCCAACACCCTGGGGAATAATGAGTCTCCTATAAAATAAGCTCAGTGTTTCAGTTTGATATCATTCATCGCGATGAACTTCAACGGAGATCTTGAGTTGGTGAACGCAGGTTGTTTTAAACCCGATGAGCCTTTAATCACCAAGTTTCTCTTAACGGAAGACGATAAAAATAACCCATGTCCAAGGTTTTACGGAAAGGTCGAGGATAAGAAGAAAGTATACCATGCGTTGAAAGAAGACATTCATCCTGAAGTTCACGCCAAATGGGGTCAGTTGGAATGTTTGTGTCACTATATTCCAAAGATGCGACTCAGTAAAACAGCCAGAAACATCGACAAACACGCCAGGATTTTTTTCACCGATTTCCGGCCAGAAAAAATGTCCACATTTTTTTGGCCGCCATATTGGCCGAGCAGCCGTTTGATAGGGGGACTGGGGTAAAGCTTAATGAAAGGCTCCCGGTGGCCACTGGGTAGTTTTGAGCGCGGCAAAATTAGATTGATCAAAACAAGCTTTTCGTGAGCTTTCCGTCGATACCAAATGTGCTGCGTATTTTGAAATATTTTTTGTTTTACGCTCTTGGGAAGACAGTATCTTTAAGTGCGTTGGATTTTCAGGCGATTTTTGGGGTAATTTAAAAAGATTTAAACGCGAACATAAGGAAATATGGGGAAGCAAAGAGCCCATGCTTGGCCGCTTCGATGTTATGGTGAGTACTTGTCCGATTCCGATTTTTGATTTTCACCCGCGTTTGCTAGCAATTCATTTTTTTCGGTGGCTAATTATGTCACACATTGACTCAAGAGAAGTGTCAAGAAGTGTTTGTTATGCTTTCTTTGCTTTCAGTATGAATGAGCGCGACGATTAAATTTTGCGTTCTGCCGATTATGGGTCGAAAGAAAGGGCAAAATCGTCGCTTCCCACTGAATACTTACCTTGAACTCAAAAGAAATCAAGATCTGCAGCTTGCTGATGCTCTTGCAAACCATAAAAATTATGTGGCTAAGGCGAAGAAACTAAAGCGACTCCAGTCAAAGGTAGGATACAAATAGCTATATCAAGTTGTAAATTCTCCTAAGGAAGTATCATATTTTTCCTTCTAATTATTCAATGAGAAGTTAGGCTGATTTATTTGTCGAGGTTTATCTAATGCCTGCTTCAATTGTCTTTTAATAAAGGATATAATATACATATATATATATATATATATATATATATATATATATAATTTTACTGTTATAATATTTGTCAGGTGAAGACTATTGATGAGTCCATTGAGGAACTCAAAAGCGATCAGAAAACTAAGGTAAGGGCTCTATAACAGATGCAGTTGCAGTTAGTTTTTTGCCCATTTCAAATTTTATTCTTTTTTTCCCCAGATTGTTCTCCAACTAAGTAACAAAACAAAATGAAAGTGACACGATTTAAACCAAAGGAAAAAAAAACCTTTCTTCTGAAGTTAATTTCAAAAATATTATTTGAGTTTTATTTTTACAGTAATAACTTACTGATCAACAATGGATGGATAACTGAACATCACTACTGGCTGGTTCTTATTATAGAACACAATATAATATATATAAGATGTCTGAAAGGTTTGAACCCAGGATTCATTTCAAAAGTAGGTTGAGTTTGATCGTCTGGGTGAACGTAGTCCTGAATAGGACTGTTGTTGTTGACATGTATAAGATCAAAAAGACATAAAGCTAGAGAATTAAAATTATTTGTTATATTTTCCTTAGAAAAATACTGACACCAAGGCCACCTTAAGTGAGCACCTCATAACCAGCAGAAAGCGCAGCCCAACGTCCTTGAATGCTCAAGGTAAAATTTCTGGCCCTGAGCGCAGTGGCAGAAGACGGTGCCAAGAGACCATGGAGGTGGCACAAGTACTTCATGGTGCAACACCGAACAACATGCTCCCTGCCTTTGAGGGCATCATGTCGGTCCTGAACAACAATTGCTCTGTGCCTGATTTGGTAGAGTTATTTAAGAAATGCCCAAAATTGTCACAGGGGGTGATACCGAAAGTTTTAAAGGAAAAAATACGAAATTTTGAGAAAAGTGATTCAAATTTTATAAGAAGTGTCAATGTTTTGTATAAGGGGGGAATTGCAAGTAAGCAGAAGTACATATCAATTAAGTCGTCACTTTCAATGGGCATAAATGAAAATGGGGTAGGAAGAAAGCATATTGAATTTGTAAAAAAATCCCAGTTCCAAGGTTATTCACCTACCAGAAATTAATGGCAAGGGTGAATCAGATCAATATTGGTGACCTATATGATGTAAAGGAAGTTCTTTGTCAAGGCCTTAGTGAGGAATACCAGGTTAATGGAAAGTTTAGGAACCTACAGCAACTTCTTTTGAAAATGGCTCAATTTTATTTGTCCATTAATAAATACAGGAAAGATAAGCTTGATTGGTTTGGGGAGGGTGAAGGTGCTTTTAAAGTTGCCATTGGGGGAGATGGGGCTCCATTTGGTAAGGATGACCAAGCTGTAGCTTGGCTAGTTAGTTTTCTGAATTGCAGGACTCGTGTTTGTAGCCCTGCGGAGAATTTTCTCTTGTTTGGGGCAAATTGTTCTGAGGACTGTGAACCTGTTCACCGGTACACAACCTTGCTAAGGGAAGAAATGACTGCTATTGAGGGGAATTCTTACTCTGTAGAAGTAGAGGGTAATCAGGTGAGTGTTTCCTTCCATTTTGAATTGCTTCCCAATGATATGAAGTATTTAGCTTTTCTTGGGGGTGAACTAACCATTTCTGCTACATACTTTTCTCCTTTTGCGGATATCAGCAAGAGTGAAATCAATGATGTCCAAGGTTCTTTTGGTCTGACACCTGACAACAAATGGAAACCTTGGAAATACAATGACCGAATTAAAGTAGCTGATGCTGTGGCAAAGAAGAAAGAGCAACTATCTACTTCAAAATTAAAGCCCAGCACCAAACGTGAAAAGGTAACCTCCTTCATTGCCCAGAAAAAATCCAGGCAAGAATTTCCACCACTTGTTGGTAAATTTATTGACAGAGCCAAAGCTGAGCCCCTACACTTGAAAAATAATGCTTGGCAGCAGTGGAATTTATCTGTGCTCAAATATGCATTATCACGTAGTGATGTGAGCACTTGCAAGTCAATAGTTGACATTCCCCCGGAGAGCTGTTTTGGTAGGTATTATAACTGCTTACGTTTCCATGTGAAAGCTACTCGATTGGCAAAGAAGGTAAGAAAATGGTTTGCAGATGGAAGGGAGAAAAACAAAGACCTGGATTATCGATTTACAGGTAAGGAATCTCGCCTATTTTGTCACAACTTCATGTCAATTGTTAAAAATCTGAGGATGGATTCTGACCAGAGGTCCCATACTTTTCAGTTACATGTGTTTGCGCACATAGCAATTAACCTTCGAGATGCAGTTTCTCTCTTCAGCAGGGTTTCTATTTCAAATGAACAGGTTCTGAGTCTTCAGCAATTTTGCTCTAACTATTACAGAACTACTTCACTCTTTCTCACCAGCACACCAACAACCTGGACCATTGGCCATATTGTTCCTAGTCACACTAAAGCCATCCATGAAAGGCTTGGGCTGGGACTTGGCATAAACAGCATGGAGGGTAGGGAGGCCAAGCATGTTACTTTGGCCAAATTTACCCAAAATACCCAGTTTAGTAATAGGTGGGCTCAAGTGTTTAAACATGAGTATGTGTCCCTTTTTTGGCTAAGGGAGAATGGGTGTGATGAAACTGTCCACAAAAAAACTTCAGCACTTTATGTGCCAAAAAGGTGTTCCACTTCACAGTTTTGTCATTGTGGGGAGCCCAAACAAGTCACTGAGATGAAATGCTCTTTCTGTTCTGACCCATTGAGAGCCCTTGTATGTCAATGTGTAGCAGAAGGGAAAACTAGTGCTGCAAAAGACTTATTGAGCCATTAAGATATTTTTTATATTTGCATTAGCTAAGCATATTTGTACCACCACAGTTTTATTATTATGATTATTGTGAACAGGGAAATATATAGGATGACACAGAGCTCTCAGAGCAAGATGTTCTATGGGGTAATGAAACTACAGATGAATGGCCCAGAAAAATGCCCGGAACCTTTAAAAATAATAGCAAGTTATTTTTTCCAAGGGTTATAAACGTAGAAGTTTCTCAGAACTTTATGGCTCCAGCAAAATAAGTTGCTATATTGATAACATATATAATATATATANTGCTCTAACTATTACAGAACTACTTCACTCTTTCTCACCAGCACACCAACAACCTGGACCATTGGCCATATTGTTCCTAGTCACACTAAAGCCATCCATGAAAGGCTTGGGCTGGGACTTGGCATAAACAGCATGGAGGGTAGGGAGGCCAAGCATGTTACTTTGGCCAAATTTACCCAAAATACCCAGTTTAGTAATAGGTGGGCTCAAGTGTTTAAACATGAGTATGTGTCCCTTTTTTGGCTAAGGGAGAATGGGTGTGATGAAACTGTCCACAAAAAAACTTCAGCACTTTATGTGCCAAAAAGGTGTTCCACTTCACAGTTTTGTCATTGTGGGGAGCCCAAACAAGTCACTGAGATGAAATGCTCTTTCTGTTCTGACCCATTGAGAGCCTTTGTATGTCAATGTGTAGCAGAAGGGAAAACTAGTGCTGCAAAAGACTTATTGAGCCATTAAGATATTTTTGATATTTGCATTAGCTAAGCATATTTGTATCACCACAGTTTTATTATGATGATTATTGTGAACAGGGAAATATATAGGATGCCACAGAGCTCTCAGAGCAAGATGTTCTATGGGGTAATGAAACTACAGATGAATGACCCAGAAAAATGCCCGGAACCTTTAAAAATAATAGCAAGTTATTTTTTCCAAGGGTAATAAACATAGAAGTTTCTCAGAACTTTGTGGCTCCAGCAAAATAAGGTTGCTATATTGATAACATATATAATATATATACATATTTTTTTTTCACAAAATTTCTAAGAGATTGTAAAATCTTATATATGAATCAAAGTGAGTTATCTTTTATATTCAAGAAAATTAATATACAAGTACATTTCAGTTAAAGGGTTGTCGAACATCGCAATGTAGTAATATTTTTTTTAATCAATTGTGCTAATTTAATGGTAGGGTGATGCTCTGTGTGATCCACAAGCTTATTTACTTTAAATAGAGTCAACTGGACTGTAGATGTTCTATCTTGGATATGCAACTGTTGCCTACTTTACATATAATTGAAAGAACAAGGGCAACCAGTTACCTATTTTTCTGGAAAATCACCCACCTTATACACAAAATTATATACTTGATAGAAGCACGTGGCGGCTTTTCAATTATCAGGAGATGGGAAAGTATCAAAATAATTTTGTTCCAAAGTCATGTAGTTATACATGTTTCATCAAATTTTGAGTAGAAAACCTAACATATATATTTCTTAATATGTTATGAAATACCATATGCAAAATATATCTTTATATATTAAGATATTACATTTATGAAAAAATCAGATTAAAAATAGTATATTGTTCTATTGTTCTCTTTCTTAATATGTTATGAAATACCATACGCAGAATATATCTTTATATATTAATATATAACATTTATCAAAAAATCAGATTAAAAATAGTATATTGTTCTATAAATGTATAACAAAATATGATAATAAAACTGTATTGAAGACTGGTATCACGATATCTCTGCTGTCGTGTAGGAGTCCAGTGTGTATCTTACATATGCTGAGGCCAGCCATGTTCATTCCAACAACCATAATAAAAATCAAATGTTATCATTTCCTTATGAAAACAATATTTCACGCCAAATTGTTTATCCTCGTTAATAATGGCTTCGACGCGCTTTCCCCCTTTCACTCTTCTTTTCAAAAAACTTCCTCGGTCCATACTCTGATCAGTCAAATCAGAAAACAAATTTCTGACTCTGATATGTGAAGTAAACGCAAATACACAATTTTTTTGTGTTTTCACGCTTATAACACCAAAACTTGTGCGAGAAACAGTTGCCGCTACCATATCAAAAAGTTCTTTCGGAAGTTTGTCTTCCACGATTACTTGCCAAGGGTGTTTTACGGAACATCTAGGGGTCATTCGTCGCTGGAACTGTTTCATCCAGCCCATCGCCTGCCTTTGTAACATAGGGTAGAAATCTCCGACCGTGTGTCTGATTCCACCGGGTCTCTCGAAATGACGGAGCGAAATTGGCCGTAGCAGAGACCTAAATTCTCCCAAGGCATCTCGCACTTTCTTTTTATCAATACCGTTTTCCAGTAGCTCCGCTTCAGCGATGGCCAGAGCACCTCGAACTGTATTGGAAAATACGCCACTTGCGTCCGCCATTTTTTTTAGTTTCAGAAGCCTTGTTGGTGTTAACCGCTGACAGTTGATCTGCGCCGGCGATTTGGCCGCTTTTTGCTCAAAAAAATCCCAGCGTGAAGTGTTTCTAACCTGTGGTGTACTCTACAATCCAAGACTACCTTGTCGTTATTTTCAGTGGATACACACTCCGTTATATCCTTTACCTTCGGATCCGACACCAGAATGGCAGGCATGGTGAAATTTACTGCCTCCAATCAACAACGTTCCTACAAACCAAGACCGCTCAAGTCTGTTACTAAACAGACCCAGACAGAATGGTTACAACAAACTGAGCAGAATGTGAACCAGTGGAAACGGGAGCAATCCAATAAAGCATGGTTAAATCAGTTTGCTGAAACGACCAAAAAACAAGAACAGCAGTGGCAAGCCAAGAAAAATCAGTCTCTTCCAAGTACCTTTCAATGGAGTCCACAGATTGCAGAGATGTACAAGAAACAGGATCAGTGGAAAGAAATCCATAGCATTGCCAACAAAGAGTTTGCAGCATGTATGAATCGTAAGAAAGATGTACCATCAGAGGCGGAACAGACAGAGAAGCAGGAGAAAGCGACAGGTGTTTGGTCTGATGCAAGTATCACTGACTTTGTGAATGGACCATGGCCCTTTGGTGACTTACCAGAAAAAGTCTGTAGTTTGGCCTCCTATTGCTGTAGACGAAAATAACAAGGGTTACCTGTAACCCCAGCCCAAGAACGATTTTTTCAACATTTATTTGATATTCATTGTAAGAAAGGCAAAACAGTGCCTAAGGCGCATGAACAATTTCTAGAAGGACTCAAACAAGGCACTACTATAACAAGTGTTAATTTTTAAAAACATTCTTAAAAATAAAAACCTTTAAAAAACTCATGTCATGGTGGTTATTTTGTTCTTGGTTAGGGTTAAAATGCTAATGAAGGTTAGGGTTAGGGTTAATATTATAATTAGGTTAGGGTTAGAGGTTGTGATTATTTTTGTTCATGATATAGGTTTGCCTGTCTCAGCATGTCTAATTCCCCAAGGACTGACATCATGCTATTGACGTCATTGCCTCAACATGTACAATTCCCTAAGGACTTAAAACCTAGGGTTATAAATTGCCTATTAAATTATTGTATCCCTCATTATCAGTTCATCATGTCAGCCAAAAGGTTGTTAGAGATGACTCATGCATGGTATAATTGTAAGGAAGAATTGAAAAGAACCCAAGCTCGTTTACAGAAACAAGAACAACTTGTTGAATGCCTGAAAGGGGAAATCAAAGCATTACGTGGGGATAATGATCAACTACGTTATGAGTTACTCTGTTCAAACTGTCAAAGATATCTTGATGGAAAACAACCAGGTGACACCATTTTGGCCTTGCCATGTCATGCATGTATGGGGACCGAAGGGTATACCAAAAACTGGAGTCGAAAATAAGTCCAGGCAAGTCTTTAGTCACGACTATAAAGTGGAACATGCTGACCTGTCTTTACTAAATCATCATGGAAGCGTTACAGTATAGAAGTACGGTTTGGATATGTGGAAAGCTAGGTAAGGACATCGTTATTCCTAACAAAGCCTGTCATGCAGTGCCTTTATTTGTATTTATTATGGAGAGAAATCCAACGTGGGGTCGCTATGCTGTTTACATCACTTGGCTCCATATGCAATTTCCTTCACAAGGACAGACAGTGTTGCCCTATTTAAAGACACGGCATCCAGACTGGGTGTATTCATTCTCGTATTTGGCTAGTCAATACATTGTGTATCATGTCGTACGAAAATCCTTCACAACCTGGTTCCTTTGGTGGTGTCAATGCCTTTGGTAAAGCGCCTAAGCCTAAGCCTAACCCTAATCAATAACCTTAACCCTAACCCTAACCCTAATTTCTATTTTAGCCTTAACCCTAACCCTAATTTCCATTTTAACCCTATCCCTAACCGTGATGTCTAACCCTAACCCCTAGAGACAAGGGTTATTAGCATTTTAACCCCAAGTCTCGATGTCTAACCCTGAGGGAGGTAACAGGAGAGGGGTCCTGGAAACGAATGAAAATTCTGTTGACTCAGCATATTTCAATTACAAAGAGTGTTGAGATATAGTTGTGGGTTAGAGTCAGTCAAGATGCAACAAGTGACTATGCATGATTTGGAAATATTTTCCAATTGGATGGAAAAACGACAAACAGAACCTCATCGGTATAATTCATATAACCCATTGATCAAGATTGATTTGGTGGAAACAGGTGACAGATATACTGCTGACAATGACAGAGTGGACGAAATCCAATTCAACGTTAAAGTTCAAGAACTTCGACCGCCAGAAGCACACGAATCATTGTTAATGGGAATGAGTGATACTTTATTGCACGAACTTCAACGGTTGATTGCAGAACGTCGTTTTCCTATGAAATCACAGACATTGTTGTCTCTTCAAAGTGTGGAACTGTTACCATTACCATTGACACACTATTTGGGCACATTATGGACGGTGTCACTGACAAAAATTTTATTGGCCATGCTTGATTGATTAAGTCAGAAATGGATGATGGCTGAACTAGTCATTCCTTTCACTGAATT